ACTGTTGAACCTCCCAAAATCGATCCTTCCAAAATCGATAACCTGTCAAATCTGATAAAAAATTAGTCTACCAAGTACGTTTCCATTATATAAATCTAATAGTTTATAATGTTTTCAAAGCTGATAACCTTTCAATATCGATACAAAATCTGCCCACCATGCGTACCGGTTTTGGGAGGTTCAACAGTAGTTTATAATGTTTTCAAAGCTGATAACCTTTCAATACCGATACAAAATCTGCCCACCATGCGTACCGGTTTTGGGAGGTTCAACAGTATATTAAAAAAACTTATTATAATAATATGAATATTTTTTTAAATAATTAAGTTCTTAAAAGATACAAGATTAATAGTTCATGAATACAGTACAATGTTCATTTATTAGCAAAAACATGTAGATTGCAATTTATATCAATTACAGTAATTATGAATTGTGATTTACATGACATTGGAAAATGCGTCTACGGTATTTGATCAGGGAATCAAAAAAAAATTTCATCTCTACAAATGATACAAATAATCCATAGTAATTTTAAAATCATATGTTTCTACACTAATTACTAATGGTCACAAAGCGTCATTAAAATCATCCATTTGAATTTCCAAAGGAAAATTTATATAATTCCATTTCGATCATTAAGTATATGAATTCCAACAGGTTTTAACGCCTAATATTGATAGAACAGTAAGAGATTTGTTTAACAATTCATTTAAACTTTCATAAATGCAAGTCATTTTCTTGAAGAATATGAGCAGAGTAACGGTGATATGAGAACAAAAATCGTGGCGCATGCCGATATTTATTTCTATATGCTATCATATTTGATGCATTATCAGTTGTAAGATCTCTTCTAATCGTAAGATGAGTTGATGATGTAGCTGTCATCTAAATTAATAAAATTTAGGCAGTAGTTTTTTATTTACGAATATATTAATGAAGCATGTTGTTTTCGTTTTAAAATTTTATTTAAAAGGTTAAAATTATGGTGCCTATGCAAATAATGTTGATTAAAAAATGATTGAAAAACTAACCATTATAAAATTGTTAGGCATCCTGGATTTCACGACTTTTCAATCGATTTTCTTGTTGAGCTTTGTTTTTCTTTCCATCATTATTATTATATGATTCAATCCATAAGGGGTGGGGTGTATATAAAGTATTGTTACTTTCTTAAATTACTTCTTTGGTATTTTTGCTGCTTTAAAAAGAATCTTTAAACTAGATGCCTGTTGCTAAATTTATAAAATTATAATGTATGGATCGTTTTAAAATAATTCTATAATTGATAGGATTCATTACTGAGCGATAATATTACCTGGTTTTTCATCACTGTATTATATGACTCAACCTATTGTGTACTCTGCACACTTGCATTAATTGCTCGATGTGTAAGGCATAATAACCAAGTCTCTCTATAAAATATGCCCATTTCTTTTTCGAAGACTAATTTAACATTTTATAATCATCTGTACAGTGTTATTTGCGCCTGATTGTCTGATCGTGCAATTTTACATGCACAATAAAAATCTTTATCCTGAATTTACTACAACCGATTAGAAAAAAAACACAAATGATAGCGAAATAAGAGAATTAATCGACTATTACTAACCTATTTCAATCAGTACTCATATAGGTATTTTCTATGCACTTCTTTTACAAGACATTCAGATCCCCTTAGGGCCGCTATGTATAGTTAATTAGCCCATAGCGACAACGGTAATTAGTTTTCCTGATTTTAAAGATTTATATACCTGTATACTGACCGACAAAGGAACAAATATAGAAAAGATTAACGTGCATACTGTATTAGTTTGATAAGGTAACCAATCATCCATCATCATTTAAAATTTATTAGACTCGCTGATAGACTTACGTAAATAAAAAGAACTTACCGTTACGTTACAGACTGATACTGATATTACTAAGCCATGGGAAATAAACCATGGGAGTCGAAGTCAACCACATTTTCTTCACAGATAACGGAAATATGCCATCAAAAGTTTAAAACTATTGGCAAGAATGGTAAACCATTGGCTTTTCAAAGTAATTTAGAGTGGACTGTACTCGCAGGCATAGTTGCTTGCCATTTGACAGGTAATTATTACATCTTATTTTTATGGTAAAAATATATATTTATTTATTTATATTATGTAAATAAAATACTGTTATAGAATATGGAGAGTATAACTTAGATTGTATTTCTCTCGGGTAAAATCATGTTTGAATTTTCTTTTATTGAATTTTTGTAGATTTGCTTGTATTAACTAACAGAATTTTCGTTTTACCCGTAATTTTATCCACTATGCGTATTTTAATAGTAGTGGGCTAAAATGTCTTCCACAAAGTAAACTTTCCAAGACTGGTGATTTAATTCATGATAGCCATGCTGAAACGTTGGCGCGAAGAGGATTTTTAAAGTTTGTATTTAACATTATAAATTCTAATTTATGATATACATATTTTCGTATTAATACCTTTATTTTAGTTTTATCATAAATGAAATGAAACTATTATTAAACTCAGAATCAATATATCTTTGTTTGAATGATACGAATTATCCACCATTTAGATTAAGAAATAATATTACTTTTCATATGTACATAAGCCAATCACCCTGTGAGTTTCAGTATCTGTAGCATTTTTTTTTTAAAAAAAGAGCATTTAAATTATTCAGAATTATTTGATAGGTGGAGATGCATCAACAACAAGTATAGCTTTGAATCAGTCGCCAGAAGATGCTGAATTATACATTAATTCATATAACATCAATATCGATTCTCAAAATTATGATATAATGAAAAGAAACCAGACCTCTGAATGTAATGATAAAATTGAAGTTTCTAAGATGAAAGATGGATTTCGGCGGGGTAGAGTTGATTATGGATCTTTTGGGGTCTTGAGAACAAAACCAGGTTTGAATCTGTTTATGTTATTAGATTATATTTATCCATTAGTAATCTTGTGAATTGACTTTTATATTTAGGAAGGGTTGATTCTGAACCAACTTTATCAATGTCTTGTAGGTATAATAATTTAATAACATTGATAACCTTTAAAAATTTAATTGAATCAGTTTAATAATTTTTTTTTTTAATTGTATAGTGATAAAATTGCTCAGTGGAATGTTGTAGGATTACAATCAGCCTTGTTATCTGAATTAATATCACCAATTTATTTATCATCTATTACTGTGGGTGATATGTTTTATATTGAAGATTTGAATAGAGCTTTATATGAAAGAATACAGGGTTTAACAAGTAATTTTTTCTGTAAAAATTTTTGATGAAAATTTTTGTATTTAGCGATTTGATTATTAATTTATCATTTTTTAATTTCTCCAGACCTCCCTAATGGATATTTCTTACACCGGCCTGTTATAATTCCTTCTTTAGTGAAATTTGAAAGATCAAGAGGTTATCTATCTGAACGTTTGCTAAATAAAGATTTGATTCCATCAAATATAGGTATTTTTTGTAATATCACTTAATACCATTGACCACTGCATATAATACCGCATTTGTGCAAATGATGCTCATGGAACACGAGTTTGAGGGAGCTAATAATTAATTTGGCAGAGTGTAAATAATAATATTTTTTATTAAAATTTTTGGCTAATTAATCATTAGCTCGCTTCAAATTCGTGTACTGAAATAACGCTCATGGGCGTTATTTCACGCAAATACGGTACCTAGTTTTATTCTAGAGCAATTTCAAATTGAATAGTACCCGGCAGTGTTGTGTGAGAAATCGGGTACTATATTTGGAGAATATTGTATGAGAGTAATAAATCAATATTATATCTCCGGGTATTATTCAGGAATTAGCCATATGGGTAGTAAATATGATAATACTCAGGTCTTAACCATGGAGGTATTACTGTATGTGTGGCTAACGGGTAATCGTAATAATATTGCATATATACATTTTTACACTCTTATTAAATCAAATAAAGCGACAGTTTGGATAAAAAATTCTGAGTCAGCAGAGGTACTTGTGTCTGGGAGAAAGCAAGGAGCAATTAAATCCAAAACAACTGGCCTCTATTTGTCTAAAACTAGGTAATTATTGTTTTAAAGTTATAATGCAGCATATTATATTATATTTATTTGTTTGTTTATTATATAGAAGTTCAGTAACAAAATTAAGCTTATTTCAAAATCTCGAAAGTTTATTGATCCAAATTCCTAATTTATTATTACCACAAAACTTGATGTGAGTTTTTTTTTTTTAAAAAAAAAAGCAATCTATTCATAATACTTATTAAGAGTTTTTTATATTAAGTCAATTTATAGAGCAAGAAAAAACATTTACATATAAGATGTTCAAATCCGCAAGTAAAAATTATCAAATTGCTAAACAAGTATTGAGATCACAAAAATTTCACGAATGGATAAAATGTCCAAGTGAGATTTATGAAAATTTTAATCTAGATGGAGAATTAATTGAGCAAAGGATGGCATAATTACGAACTGAAGTTTGATATTGTTAGCTATTATATTGATGATGGTAATAAATGTCACGACTGAAGCTGAAAACTTTTATACGTTTTTAATATTTTCTAGACATAAAAATTAAAAACTGGCGGGCAGGTCACTTTTAGATTTCTATGTTATCAATAATTATAAATGTGCCTATAGTGTTAAACATCATATATAATTTTTTATTAAAATTTAGGGTTAGGGTGCAATTTTAGGATAAAGGATCAGTTTTATATAATATAATGTAGATTAGATATAAAGTCCGATTTCGATTTTCAGGGTCCTATTTTGCTTAGAACACCGGACCCAATAGGCAGACTTTCGTATGATTGGCTGTTTAAATCAATTTAATTTTACATTATTTATACAGTTTAAAGTACTTTTTAAAAAAA